AAAGCTATCTTCAGAATCAAAACTGTAACCTTCATTTACATTTTAGAATTTGTGATTCATATATAGGGAGTATAAATGTTTAAACTTCCTGCCTGCATAAATAAAACTTGTAAAAATATGTAACAAAGTTGTGGCCTGTGTACATGCTTATTGCTTTTTTCTAGTTCAGATAGTTTGAAAACTGAATTTTTGAAGTTGGTGGTGAACTAAAATTCATTTAATTGGGTTTCCTGTTGTACCACTTCCAGCTTCTAAATCTAACAAAATTATAAATACATCATCTAAAAACTGAAATATTTACTTCCATGTAGTCTATTTGCTATAGATTTCCTTTTCATCCTTGTATGAATTGTGAACTTCATCACTTTTATTTATTATATCAGAAGCTTTTCATGATCGAATGGACTGTCATTGGTTGATGGTTTGTATGCTGTATTGTAGAACTTAGGTTCCATGATTTGCTTTCCTTACTGCCAAAAAAAAACCATACACACACACACACACACACACACACACTACAGTTTGAGGCTGTTGGTACATTATAAGAGTAATGGGCAAATCCCACTATTTGATTAGGCTATAATAAGAGAAGAGTTCACAGTGGATAGTTTTAACTAGCTGCCTTTTCTCTTGTCTATTACTTCACAATTAATGACAGTTATTGCAGATAGCTCTCATGCAACCTTGTGCAAATTCTAGCAAACAAAGAAGTCATGATCACTTACCTTCAAATAATCCACATGTACCATGACTTGGTTTTTGTTTATAATTTTACTAATATTGATGAAATATTTCATTGGTTGTTTATTTATTAGGTTAAAGAAATTATTTTGCTTGTTTCTTTCATTTTACAAAAGCTCCTGCTTGTAATGTGGATAAACTTCTCCCCAACATGAACTTAGAGTTTAAAGGTGGGGTCTTTTTGAACAGTTATATGTAATTCCCTAAGAGGGTAACAGAATTAAATTTTATAAATAAAACAGTGAAATGCATACTTTACACTTACATTAGTCCTAACAATGTAAAAAATATTTTATTGCTGTCTACAGACTTACAGTGCTAAAATCCAGGGTACAATTCCCTGTAGACTAAGCAAATAACCCAATGTGGCTTTGTTCTAAAACAGACAAAAATGAACAAATAAATTTTAAATCTAAATTTCAATTTAATAAGTGGTTTAATGCATGGCAGCTTTAATCTTGTGGTTCTGTAATTGCTAATAAGTATGCATAAAACCTGGCTTTTGGGTTAACAGTTACAGTTGTGCTGCATAATAACATAATATACACACAATAGTTTTTATTTCATGATAACTTTTAAGTGTACAAAAATATTTTGGATTTCAAAAATTTCAGTGGCTATCATGTTTTATGTTTGAAGTGTTTCTGTTTCAAGTATAGTTTCATTTTCAAGTTATAAACCCTCTTGCTGTGGGCAGATCAAAGAGAACCCAGGTAATTACTATATTTCCTGTTTTATCATGTGTATTCCTTATTTATTGTAATGCCCTGGCATGGCCAGGTGGTTAGGGCACTCGACCCGCAATCTGAGAGTTGTGGGTTCGATTCCCAGTCACACCAAATATTCTTGCCATTTCAGCCGTGGGGCGTTATAATGTGATGGTCAATCCCACTATTCATTGGTAAAAGAGTAGCTCAAGAGTTGGCGGTGGGTGGTGATGACGAGCTGCCTTCCCTCTAGTCTTACACTGCTAAATTAGGGATGGCTAGCGCAGATAGCCCTCGTGTAGCTTTGCATGAAATTCAAAAAACAAACAAACAAACATTTATTGTAATAAAAGTAACTGCAATGTAAAATTTAGAAACTTATTATGTTTGATAAGATTAGATTAGGTAAGATAATGAAAATATGTATTCTTCACAAGATATGCTTGTGACCAGCTCATGCATTATATAGTTTGATATGATAATGTGAACTATATGTTTGCTGAGTGATTTATGACTTTTATAGTGGGATTACTAGTTACACAGGGTGAAGGGCAATAAAACAATAATATTAAGTATAAAAAAGATGTAGACTGTTACAAGCTTTAAGCTATTTAGGATAAACAGTTGTAGTTTCATGTTCAATTTGCAGTTATTCTGGAAAGAAAAAAGGATAATTTAGATTTATTTCAGATTTTTTAAGGTGGTTATAAGGTTAGTCCAGTTGATCAAATTGGTATAGTTAGGGTAGAGAAAATTACATATAGAATATAAAGTTTAAAAAAAAACATTTGATATTTATTTAAAAGGTTTCAGAGATTACACAAATGAAATTTGACAGTTTTCAAATGAAGAAAAGTATTTTTAACCTTAGTTGAAAATCATTTTACACTCAGGGCGGTTAACTATTTTGACATCTTATATTCAAG